ACCACATATTCTCGATTTCCAATCAATAACAGAGTTGCATAAAACTTTCGAAACTTTTTTACTATCCAAAAAAGTGTCTACATAAAAAAAAAAGTATTATTGCAAAACCAATACATTCCTTGCTTTGATCAGTATCTAAAATGGTATACTGTATTAAAATATTTACGGAGAACATTAACTATTAAATTAAGTTTATATGAATATATGAATAATTGTCAATAAGAAGTAAAATGATCCACTATAATTGTTTAGTTCATATTTGAGTTATTATATTCATTACATTCATCTACTATATTACCTATACTATACATATTATAGTACATGATATAACATTCTTTATACTAAATGAAAACCCAGCCAAAATTCAAAAGTATAGAAAATAAATAATTAAATTGATATGCCCAAGTTGGAAAAAGCATCACGGTTAACTACTACACATTTTCGCATTATCTATTTTTCAATCAACAGAAATATATTTTCACGTTTCTTCTGGTACCACTCCATCGAAATTGTCCAATGAAATCATGCACATAAGTAAACTAATTCAATTTCAGTATTATAGCATTAATATTTTATTCAAAGGCTTTTACTATTACATACTTACTACTTAGGTACCTAACTATGTACATAAAAATACCAGACATGCTCAAGAGTGCTTTATCCAATCCATTGATGAAGGACCCCATAGGTCAGATTTGCCCTCAGACATCACCAAACTTAGTTGCATCCACAGATTGCAGACTACAGTCTCCATTTAACTATAGACTCAAAATTATAGGAATCTATACAGGCTATAATTATTATTGTAGTTGAAGTGGTGTCCAACGGGGCAAGTTCCATTGCAAGGACAAAGTTGTAAAATTTTAAAGGGTGGCAAATGTTTAAAATATATGTACATTTAATAGGGGTGCCAAATAGTTTTGCCCTGTAGTGCCAAAGAAAGTTAGCACGGCACTGGTGACCTGTAGTCTGTACGAATGTACACAAGTACAGGAACATATGTATGTCATTCAAAATTAAAATTAAAAATAATAGTCTACTGCAAAAGCTGTTCAAATTACTGTAATAAGGGAAATGGGATTAAATTAATATGAGACACTCGTTATTAAAAATACAAAAAAATACCTATTATCTTATAATATGGTATAGAATGTTAAATATTCAGATGAATGATGTATTGATAAATTAATTAATTAGCAGATGATTAGTATATTAATAGCCGAAAGTCCCTAAATATATATGTGATACCATAATACATCAATATGTTTAAATAGATCTTTTTAACAAAAATATAACTTATTGATTTATAATTAAGATACTTCAGGTGTTATAGGCACTTTTAGGACATAATGACGTGTAGGTAGGTACCTACAAGCCAAGGTTTATAGATTATAATTTATAGATTATTATAATAATCTATAAACCTTTCCTACAGACTAGTGGCTACAATAGTACAATGTAATCATACTGCTGCGTACACAATCGCCTTTTTTACCAGGTATAAATGGCATATAATCATATTTTTATGCACGTAAACACACTGATTAAACGTGTCAAAACACAAATTACATACCGACCTATTGACCGGATGAGTTTCTACAGCCGCCGTTACTCGTTATTTACCTATATTATACTATCGAGTTTTTGATAAGATATCGTTTAATCAATTGGCCGTGACGGTAGTTAGAAAAACAAACTCCTCACTAGCAAACAAATCCCCAGTAGCATTATACTAGTTTTAAAAGAATTATTTTATAAATTATATATTAAAAATAAAATTAATATCGTATATTATGTAAAAAATGTTCTTATACCCTAAAATTACAATATAAATTTATATATAATAATTGTATGTTGTTATAATTTATATAACATTATATATATTTTTATATAATTTATTGTATATATAGTAATATTGTATTTTTAGGGTATAAAATAAATCTTAACATAATATATAATATATTAATTGTATTACTAATATAATATAATTTATAAGATAATTCTTATAAATTATATATATTTATTCAATCTCCAGTATAATGCTACTGGAGATTTTTTTTTGCAATGTACCATACTCGAACAAAACCAATTCGTATTTCTTTTCAACTTTTGTGTTCACTGTTCAGTCTCATTCATGTGATCCACCAAAACGTACACTTAAAAATATTAATTTATTTTATAAGTTTCCTCCTATTAAAAATACACGTAAACGGCTTTGGATAAATGCATATCCAGGCACGTTTACTATACTGAAAGAATGGTTGTATACTGCCAAATATGTGAGAAAAAAGTGCTGTGTTCAAAGAAGTTCCAAATTGTCCAGCATGGTTACGTACCGCCAACGTATGGCCCGCCAACATCAAATGTTGGGCCCCTGTACTAAATGTTTTTGAGGGGCCCTATATCAAAACTCCAAATAAATACAACCCATTAAAATCGAATATGGGTGTCCCATACACGATTTCAAGGTAATAAATGGTTAACCCACAGCATAAAATAACAAAATTACTATAAAATAAATATTCCTATCAAATTTTCAAAAACTACAAATCCAATTCAACAGGTCCTTAAAATAGCAGGGCCCCCGTACTCCAGGTCCAACAACCTCTCCTAGTGGGGGCCCTGCTTACAGCAACACATAATATAGCGACCTCTAAAAAGAGAAGTAAGACCACCTATACTTCTAGAAGTAAGGCGCTAATATCACAGCCTCGTACTAACAGTATGACGCGCATAGATAATTTCAGCAATGGTATTTTGTGTTTGTCATTAATAACGAGAAACATTCCTTTGAAAAAACTGAGAAATCCAAAATCCTGTAGTTTTCCGAAAAAATATTGCACGAATCAAAAAAAACATACCAGACGAATCTACTTTACGGAAAAATTACATTGTAGACGTCTAGAGAGATGTCTTGGAAATAATCAGAAGTGAAACTGCGAAAAACCTGATTTGGATTTCGGCAGATGAGACATTATAATAATTTATAATGTTTATACTTTTTAAACCATTTGATATTATTCAACATAATTTTATTGTTTTTTCGAGTACAGTTTGATAGTAATAGTGTAAAACAATATGAAAATCTATATAGTTTTTGTACAGGTAGATGTATCTTAGTATCTAGACACCCCCTCCCCCCAGGAATTTCAGCGATACTGGACGTTTTCCCTCCCCCACCCCGAATCAATATATATTTTGTTTACACATAATAATAGGTTTGAAAATAGGTTCTTTAGTTTTAACGGAAATATACGATCATCGTAATATGATATTATACTATGATAATCAATTATTACTCAAATATTTACTACCCAATTTAATGGGTAATGATTGATAAACCTACTTTAATTATCTAAACTATTAACAACATGGTTGCTCTATGTCTCTTAGTATAGTTCGTAACATTTTTTGTTAAATTAACACTTCGTTCTTGTGTATTTTATAATGGTATAAGTACCTACTTTGCAGTATACGTTTATGTATCATAAACTCTTTGGTACTTTCAGAGATGCCCACGAGAGTATTTGTAGGTAGGTATATAAATATTTTTAAACCAAGTATAGGTACCAACTACCTACCTAAATATAATTTTTGGATTACTTAACCTTCTTATTCCTTTAATGTATTTTACACATTATTATTTTCGTAGTCAATAATATTATGAATGTGTCTTATTGCTCAAACAGTCAAACATTTTAAACTTTAATATAGGCACCTATTAAAAACTTTCAAATTATATTTTAATAATATTTTCGGTTAACTGTGTGAAGCTATCTAGTTTTTAAATAATAATACACAATTTAAAGTAGACATCTACCTAAATACCTCGCTAAATACAAATATGCAATGCCTACGTAATTTTTCAACTTAATAATAAATTAAAAGTTGTTCAGAAAATATCAAATTGTTATTTACGACTATGAGGTAGAACTGCAGAAGTCTGAAATTAGTGTAAAACTTTAAAGAAGATGAAAAAACGGTAATGTCAAAGAATTAAGTTGTCCACGTAAAATATTAACTAAATTGTAAAAGTTAAAATTGTTGCAATTTAATTATATTAGACGTATAGTATAGCCGTATAGGTATACCTGCAAAGTATACCTAGGGCCAAATATAGGTGCATAATATATTATTATTTATAACCGCATCTACCTACGCGTTTTATATAGTTATAGCATAAACTTGAAAAATCTTACCTGTCACTGCGAAAATCTTGAAACTCCAATTCGAGCTCGTCCGTGCAGCCATCGTGAGCGCAAAAATGTGAGAAAACCCGGGAAAATCGATCCAAGAAATATTTGGATATACACGCAGGCGAAAAAAATTAACTAAATCGCGGCTGTCGGGAATTTTCTATCCGTTGCACATGTTAAGAAATAGATTACGTTGTAAGTTTCATTTTGAGAGAGAAGAGAACTTAATTCGTTTGCAAAGGCAAAAAGGAGGAATCCAAAAAAAGACCGTCTTCGGCGGAGGGGAACACTGGCACGCGGCGCGTTCAGACGAAAACTGAACGTGCTCACTGCTCAAATCTCTAGTAGCCCGCGCGCGCGGTATATTCTGCCGCCGGTTTAGAACGCACGCGGTCGTGGTCGGGCGGTCGGTGATTGGTGAATGCAGTTGGTTACCAAAAGATAACGGACAACTACGCGACGTGTGATAACGAGTTAGTAGTTGTTGATGTGCTGGACGACGATAGTATCGAAATAATAATAGGATCATCATTCGTCGTAGGCTGTTTGATGTGGTCTGTTGTAGTACAAGTCTGTTGCCGGTACTAAAGGCATCATCATCATCATCATCTTTAATATTTAATAATACATAATAATTTATTATAATAGTATTATAATATGTTTGTGTGTAACTAAATTAAGAATATCGTGTGGTGTATCTGACTAAAACTTTTTAGTAGTACCACTAGTACCTAACTATTATTATTAGTGAAATTAAAGGATTACATTGTTTTGAAGCAGATAAGGATTGAAGACGCTCACATTATGGATGGCCAATTGACAGATTTACTGTTCCCAGACGGAATACCAGGTAATTAGGGTGAACGACATTGATCTAATGGAATGATAGGTAGGTAGGTATAAGTATTAGAAGATAGCAAGTTAGTCGTCATTATACCGCAGTTAAAATCTGTGAATACATTCCTACCTAATCGAGGTTTGATCGAAATATTCTATAATGCTACATGTCCTTAACGCATTAAATCATTTTCTAGAAAATGTCATAATCGGTTATTTACATTCTTAGTAACTATTAAGTAATAACGTATCTTCAGCCACCTAAAAAAATAATATAATATAATATATTGTTACAGTGCATTAAGATTATGAACAGTGGCATAATTTAAGTTAAAATCTTAGGGGTGCTATAATTATGTAACACTCACAGAGCCTTGGTGGTTGCATATTTATTATTATTCAGTTGCCCTGTTTTTAATTTTTTTTTTTTTTGCAGCCTCAACATTTTTATTTGAGTGATAAAACAAAACAAAATTTAAAAATAGTTAATTCCCATGAAAACAAAACCACGGCCGAACCTAACACCTGTGTTTATTCATAAATCATAATATACCATCTACTTAACACATTATTTATGCAATTGATTATATTTTCTACTTTATATTAACTGTAAATTTATATTTTACATTTTTTTAGATGATATAAAAACTGATCCAAACATTAAAAATTATTTAGATCATCTTGGAAAATGCACAGCAGAAGAATTAAGTATGTAAAAATAAAATATGTTTTGTTATAATTCACAATTAAATTTATATATTTTTTTAGGTAAGGAACATAAGTCATTAGAAGAAAAAAACACCATCATTGTTAAAATGGTTAAAGATTTAGCATTAAATAACTACAAAACATTTGTTAAAACTTCACATTGTTATGAGTCTGTGTACAATAAATTTGATGATACACAACAGAAAACTATCACATTAGATAACTATTTATTAAAACTTAAAACTGAATGCCAAGAAATGTTAAGACAGTGGGCAGATGTTAAAGAAAAACGGCATCGTAATACTTTAGCTATGGCTTGGAACTCCCGTATCATGCATCATGCTCTTGAACTTCCACAGCTCATGTTATCCTGTATACAAAATAAACTGTATGAAGATGCACTAAAACTGGCAAATCATGCTAGACATTTACCCAATAATGTACCAGCTGTAAAGGTTAGTTTCATAATTAATTATGTAATAATATATTGTAATAATTTGCATATAATCTTAGTTGTTACATGATGAAGTAGAAAAGCATCGTTTAACTTTGATGTCAGCACTTTGCCAAGAATTGAGAACCGATTTAGAATTACCACTGTGTATGCGTATTGTACGACTATTAAGAACATTAAACATAATAAATGAAGAACAGTTGGCTGTTAAGTTTTTACAGACTAGAAATGCATGGTTTAATGCTAAATTAGAAAATATTCCTGATGAGAGCAGTAAGTTGATGTATTATTTTGTGTTGACATATTGAAAAAAAGATAACAATATTTTGTGTTTATAGATAGCCAACACCTTTTGGAAACTATTGAGGTATCACGATCTTGTCTTTCAAATATAGCTACACAATATAACCTGATATTTTGCTCTGAAGATAACTCTTCTGATACTGAATCATCAAAACTACAGTTCTATTATTCTTGGACTAATCAAAAGGTTTTTAAACAGTATAAACAATGGTTTATATTATATTATTTTATAATTTATTTCATTAACAAATAATACGTATACATTTTTTAGGTATGTCAATTTATTAATATACTTAAAAAAGACCTTCCAAACTGTCGACCATCATCGTTAGAAACAATTTTCACACAATGTATGTACTTTGGACAGTCATTGGGACATATTGGAGCTGATTTCAGGGGTCTGATAGCACCTGTGTTTATCAATGTGACTGTAAAAAGATTTTCAGACTTATTAAAAATGACAGAAATTACTTGGCTAACAGATTTACAAACATTTTTAAAAACAAATATAAAAAATGTTAGAATGAACCAAACTCATGATGAAGTAAGACACCTGTTTGTAATATATTTATAATAAATAATATATAAATTTGAATTTTTTTAGGTAGATGATATACCGTCACCTGTATTTGAATATTATCCTTTGGCAAAATTTTGTAATGGTGTAATGAGTGCTCTGAATGACCTAGGAGAGTATGCTCCATATGCAGCTGCCGATGAAATTACCAAATGTTTACATACTACATTACATAATGCGTCCTGTGCATTATTCTCTATGTATTACCAAGACGATTTTAAAAGCTATAATGAAGTAATAATTATTAATTATATTATTATTATTATTATTAACTGTAAATTAAATTATGAATAAAATGCCTATTTTGAATATTTTAGCAGTTAGGTTATTTTAGGTATTTTAACGTAGGCTGTGATTTTGATTTTATATTTTTAATGAGTTTTAAAATATTGAATTAAATAATACATAATATTAAATTGATAGAAGTTTTAATAGATTCATAATTTATAGGGTGACAAAAAAATATTTGGACAACTCTGCATTTGTTTTTCAACTGATGTTGTACCATATGTACAAAGATGTTTACACAAAGTGTATGAACCAGCTAGTATAGCTGCTTTCATTGGAGTGACTACAACATCACTACAGAAAGAGGTAATTTTTATTATAATATAATACAACTGTAGTTAAATATCTTGTTTAACTTATGAGTAAGTTTAAATGTGTAGTTAAATTAACCTTAATTAATGAAAATTCAAGAAAATTAGTCACCATCATAACTGCAATACCAAATTAGAACCGAAAAAACAGCTAGGATAAAATATCTAAGATATAATAGTGAATTTTCAAAACAGCTAAAGTATGTTATTTTGAAATCATTGTTATTATTATTATATTATTATATGCATACAATAGAGATTTTTTTGTTACTTATCAATGTTAATGTTGGGTACTTCCAGTATGTCATGGGGTTTTTCTTTGTTAGTTTCCCCATAACTTTTATTTCAACAAATATGTCTCAATCATTCTTGATTATTTATTATTTTTAGTTATATATTTTAACGGCCTGAAATTAATAATTATTGTGTGTTCAAGTACAAATGATTATAAAGGGTGTTTATTATTTTACTAGATTAGGATACCTAACCAGTTTATTTATCGACATTAATAATTTATACATCTTTTTTACAGAACCTAACATACATTGATTCAGAAATTATTAATGAACCTATCAAAGAATTATTGGATGAATTCGAAAATATTACTGTATTAAATAACATACCAACAGAGTAAATGGCTACATGTTATAATTTATTTAAATCTACTACTCTTTTTGCTAATTTTAATAACTTATTTACTTTATGTATTTTGTTTATTAAATTAAAGTAATTTATTCTATTTACATTACTTCTAGGTATTATATGTTTAATTCAATGTTAAAAAGCTGATAGTTTTTATTATTATTATTATTATTATAGTTGTATTATTTTACTGTTATTTATGTGTATTTAAACTAATCTGTGGACATTTTATTTATGTTTATATAAACTTATCTGTAAAAATTGTATGCAAATATTTTTTATACTAGCATCATACCAAAACCAGGTAAAGAACCAGGTTCTTTTTTTAGTTGTGCCAATTGACTTGGCCATGCAATTTGTAAAAATAAATTTTTAATCATAAGATCAACTTTTCCAACTTACAATAACTAATTACCATTATTTTTTTTTTAATAAAAGCATCCCATTTCTTTCTTATAGACTTCTGTTTAGGCCAATCTTCAGTAAGAACCAAATATTCCTATACTTCTTAAATTTAAAAATATAAAATATATATAGCCAATATCATGTAGGTTGTAGACAAGTGATGTTATATGGAAGAAATAAGGATTTGCATCACTTGATCAATAGTGGAATATTCACGAACAGTACCTCTATTAATAGAAAAGTTAATGTGCATTACTGTATAGTGTATATGAATTATTTACACTACAGTATAAGACCGTTTTCATAATGTATTGTTACATTTGAGATATAAACACACTAATGCAATTTTACTGCACTTAAAAATATCTCTACCAGTAGGTAGTACATTTACTGTTACCTACAAATAGTCTGCAATGTGCATTCCATTTACTTCTTCGGTATATAATTGTCTATATTAAATTTATTAAAAAAAATTGGTATTCGTTTCCCTGAATGAAATAAAACTTAGTTATTAACGTGTATGATAGAGTGATAATTTATTTAAGCTTATTAATATGTATTTAAAATTATTTATCAATCATATTTATTTTAATAGAATATATCAATGTATTAAAATATAGGTACATAACTTAAAATAAAAAAAGCTGTGAATTTAGTTATCGCCCTGCTGTAGGTACAGTAGGTGTCGAATGGGCCACTGTAATGGATGTGTTAAATTGGAATTCAATGATAAATCATGGCATACAAAAAACGATTCTGATCAAAGACGGTCCATGTTATCATTTTATATGCATAATTAAATCTTTATGAGCTGTTTATGAACATTTTTTTTACTCTTTTTTCTATAAATATTGATAAAAAAATGTTTTGATGGCCGATGGGTCAAAAAGCTTGAAATGTAATACAATAGGTTCTTTGTTATAAAAACATTTGAAAAATATTAAAGATATGCAAGGATTTTTATAATTATGGTAATTGGTAGGTAAGTCATAACTCATAAGTAATTATTATTTTTTAAAAATATCCAAAATATTGTTTTTATTTTTCTAAAGTTTAAATTCAATAAATATAGAAGAAAAATGAATTTTGCTTTCCCCGTGGGCTCAGATCATGTGGCCAATGTGGGTAGGTATAGGTAGTAGGTACCACAATTAATCAAAAAATTAGTAATAAACCTAAAGTAGTAACCCATAGGCACAAATTGGGGGGGGGGGGCTAAGCCAGAACATACAATTTTAAAATGCTATATTGCAATGTCCTGCTTGCCTTTAATATATTCAGTCCCCTCCAAGTCAAAAGTTGAAATTGAGTGTACCTATACTTACCTAACAACTAGCAATAATAATTATGCATAATATATGCGATATTATAATATATAATTAATTTAGCAAAATGAATAATTACATAATTTACATACAAATAAACAATGGATTTATATATTATAATATAATTAATATTAATAACAATAACAATAATAACTAAGACTGGGATTTCGAAGTATAGGTAGGTACTCTGCATTGTTTCCGGATCTAGATACGTGATGCTAATTTTATAACACGTTTCATGTATTTATGAATCAAAACAAGAAGTCATTATTTTTAAATTTTAGGATTTTTGGAAGCATTTTTTAAGTTTTTGAATCCAAAATTTTAAATTAAATTTTCAGATTTTTACATGCTTTTACACAAGTTTACTATACCTACATTAAACATTTAACTAAGTATAACTATGCACAGCCATACAAGTAAATAAATATAATATGATCTAAACCTATATAAAAAATAAAAATAATTTATGAAATCATAATTTAGAATTTTTAGGGTATAAATTATAAAAGCATTATTCTTATTCGGGTATTAAATTTTCAAGTTTTTTTACTTCAACAATACCAGGCAAATCCACTTTTGACAATTGTTCAGGAGAAATAAATATGGATTTAGCATATGGAAAATTAAAAAAAAGTTAAATTTAATAACAGACAATGATATTGAGTAGGTATAGTATACCTACTACAGACATATTGTTGTCATATTATCATCATGGCTTTTCTAGTGCATGTAATAAGTTCTTGAAGTTTGAAAGCTGTGGACTTGCCCCTGGTTTTGCTCATAAAATGTAAATGTTTATTCAAGTATTTAGGTAGGTAGGTACATATTATTAAGAAAAAAAAATGAATTAAATCCAGTAACCAGTATAGGTAAGCGATTGTAACACAAATAATATTTAATTATGAATAAAATGTTTTGAACTGATTTTAACAACAATGGAATATGACCAAAAATGGAATATTACCAAAAACAAGTGGTCTCCATCGACAATTACAGATACATAACATTTGCTAAACTAACTAGAAATAATAAACCTGTGAAATTATCATCTCTACCACCAACAAATAGCGCCACCCAACAGCATCTGCTTCGAGTTTATTACCAGGTACAAATTTGGTTGGGCAACAAATTAAACCCGGAAAACTGGGGGTGGATAATGAATAACAATGTTTTGGAGCCTATAATGACATTGTTACCACCCGCACCCGATGAATTGGTGAATATGATATTTTGTAACTGTAAAAAAGGCTGTGGTACTAACTGCAGTTGCAAAAAAATTGGTATCAAATGTTCAATTATTTGTGGACATTGTCGTGGGCAGTCGTGTTTTAATTCAAGTTCCGACGATGCTTTAGATGACAATATAGACACACTTGACGTTTTGTCAGCGGATTTAACGGAAGAAGACAATACATATAATTTTGAAAAAAATGAAGAACATCAAAATGACGAAGAAGAAGAAGAAGAAGAAGAAGAAATGCATGAAGACGAGAGCGATGATGATTAATAATAATTTAAATGTAATATTTATTACTTTGTTTTGACGATTACATAACTATGATACCTATAATAGTTATTTAACAATTATTGTTGACTACATGGACTAGGCCTACCGGGGAAACCATGAAAAAAAAAACGCACCATGCTTCTACCTCAATGGTGGTGTGGAAATGAATGCATTCTTATTATCGTTATTATAATATGATAATATAATATAATATTATATTATTGTAATTTTGTATGGTAAACATTAAAATTTGTATACCGCAAATGCGATTGGATATATATATATATATACAACCATTTTGTAGAGAATTTTATCCTCTACAATTTTTGTTCGAGACTTTTTATCGTACAAACAGTATAAAGCGAGATATTAACGCAAAGGCTACTTGTTTTTAGCGAAAAAATCATATTTCATTAAAAGTGTACACATTGTTGGCCTTATAACGGAAAAACTATCAACATGACGTGAAAATGTCAAGAGACCATTTTTATAGATAATTACCTCCTCTACAATTTGTATCTAAGACTTTTTTTTGTACGACCAATAAAAAACGAGATATTAAAAAAAAGGCCAATTTCGTGACCTTTGACCTCGAATAACCTTTAACGCGTACATGATATCGAGGTCGACTTTTTAGACATTGTTTACAACGATGTAATAAAGATGTGTACCAAAATTCAGCTAGGTGGGAATTTTTCCGAGCTGAAAACCTAATTGCACTGGACTAATAGAATACAGAATAGATGAAATGTATTTCATTTATTCTGTGAATGTTGTACTTATAATACACTAATACTGTTCATGTTCTAATAAACATAATGTTATAATAATTTATGCAATATGGACTTGAGTGACTTTTTGATCATTGAATATAATATTTAGGTAATATTGTTATCAAGCAGAAAATATATGATACCAATTGGTATATAATATATTAATCATAGACATATTAATATGTCTATGATATTAATATATTAGCTGCAAAAACCTTGTAAGTTGGGACCCGCAGATAAATATATTGGTACCTATCGGACAATCCGCCACAGGCCGATGACTTTAGAGGGCCCTTCAAGAAATGTCACAAATCCAAAAAAACAGATTAGGTTTTATTACAAAATTGAAGTAGGTAGGTAGGTACTTATATCTAAGGTGATGTTTAAAAAAATTCAATTCTCGTAAAATTAAATCACCATCTGAAATTGAATACATTTGCTATTTAGAATAATGACTGTCACAATAGGTTATATTTTATAGATTATTTTATATGTTAAAGCATCTCGTCAACGTTGCCGATCGATATCGTAATAATTGTGGAACGGTTAGGTTAGGTCATCCATTTGATAAAAATGTAGACCGTAGGTCCTTTTCAGAAAAATATTATTTTACAGTGTCAGTGTCCAAATCTGGTCTGAAAATCTGACTTTGTGGTTGTGTAATGTGTTACACGATTATAATTCAAAAAGCTTACTGTAGGTAATCCACGCTGTTATTGGCTTACTCAGACTTTTTTTGCCGGTATTTTTAAATATAGGTACCTACTTAGGTAGCTCAATACATAAAATAACTCCCCGCAATAACTCTTAATATACAAATAATTCGTCTCACAATTCAAAAAAAAAAAATTAACATGCAAGAACTAATTTTTGGTTTTAGATATTTAAATTTTGTATTGAGAAAATAAGCAACTGCAGCGCTGAGGTCAGAATTTTCTATGAAAAAACCTATAATCTCACGAAATAATGGATTTATATT